CCCTCCCCTCTAGAACCCTCAGTTTGTTTCTCAGAGTCCATAGTCTCTCATGGTTCGTCTCCCCTCTAATTCCCCCCCTTCATTTTTCCCTTCCTACTATCTTCTTCTTCTTTTTTTTTTAACATATAATGTATTATTTGTTTCAAAGGTACAGGTCTGTGTAAACTGCTTTTCACTGGATACATTCTTAATTTTTACAGCTTCTTCTTACATTAAGGGAGTCAATCACCACTTAAAGGCTATAATAATAGACATTGTTGTTCTGACAACTGCTTTGGCATTTTGGAATCCAAGTCTTTGGGATCTACAAATTGCACACAACTGTGGAAATTATGTAGGAAGCCACAAATTTATTCCAAAATTACATGGAAAAGCCACTTTTAAAAATGTCTTATTCTAATAGTATTCACAGTCTTAATTTTCCTAAATTTTTAAAACTAGGCAATAATATCATAAATATTCAGCACCAGGATTAACAAACCGAGTCATGAGTCATATATTTATATACTTTTTGGTGATGTTGATAAAGTTGGTCACTAAAACCCATTACAAACCTTTCTATAAACAAACATAGACTTGATTATTTTATGAATTTTTTTTTTTTAAGATTTATTTATTTTTGAGAGAGTGAGAATGAGAGAGAGAAAGAGTACATGAGAGGGGGGAGGGTCAGAGGGAGAAGCAGGCTCCTCACTGAGCAGGGAGCCTGATGCGGGACTCGATCCCAGGACTCTGGGATCATGACCTGAGCTGAAGGCAGTCGCTTAACCAACTGAGTCACCCAGGCGCCCCTATTTTATGAATTTTTAAAGAAATTATTTTAAAAAGTAGAAACAAGAGGTTAAGTCTTAATTACAGCTTTTCACTTGTTCTCCTCTACCACTTGGTGAAATAAGCCAAATGGGCAGAAATGAGTTCAGATGAAGGCACGATACCATTGAGCACTCTGCACTATTTAGAGTAGCTGATGAAACATTAAGTTGCTATAAACACTTTTTTGCTATACGGTTAACATTTTTAGAAAAATTATTAATATTATGTCAGCTCATAGCGGATTCCTAAATTTACCTGGCTCAATTGTTTTCTCCATCAGTAAATTTAGATTTGGTATGTCGAGACCGGAGTGGTTGGCCTGCTAAAAAAACAGGTCCTTAAGGAAGTGGGTAATTGATGGTTAGGCTTTCACCAAATTAATCTGTAATTCTGCATTCTTTTCAGTAAGACCACATGGAAATGATTCTCAACTAGGACTTTTCTTGTTCTGTATCATTTTTTTTGGTGAACTGTCAAACTGGCTGTTGTATTTTGGACAGGGTGAGGGTGGAGCTTCTTGTTTTCATGGAAATAGCTATAGCAGCCAACTGCTAGGATCTGAGTGGCGGAGTAGTCCACTTGGGAACATTTTTGTCCCTGGCCAGGCCTGAGTTCCAGCATTCCTAAGAGGTGAGCCAAATGGCACAGACCACCCCATTCCTGACACAGTTTGGTGGGAAGTGGCCTCATGGTCTTTGTTATGAAGGAAGTTAACAGGGAAAGGAAAGGGAGCTTGGCTCATTGCTGATACCTACGTTCATATCGGGCACATCTCTGGGAAAGGCAGGATCACAGAGACAAAGGTCTGCAGGACCTAGTATCTTAGAACTAGACTACTGACTTGAATGTAACTCTTGCATTTTACAAGTGAGGAAACAGATCCAGATGGATTTGCCCAAAGTCACTGGTGGCAACTAAGCCAGAAAGAAGACCCAGGTCTCTTGGCTTCCATCCAACATTTTCCCACCACACCATCCTGCTTGTCCACAGCAGAAAAAAACGTGAAATGGTATCTCATTCAGTTCCTTGAATTTACCAGCAAGCTAATGAAAATAATCTGGCAAAGACATTTTTAGCAGTGTGTTCCACATTTTCTGCACCTTACGGAAGGTGCTTTTTTTGGGGAAAAAAACTATTAATACAGAACTGTGAAAAAAACCCTCTAGGACTCAACTGTTACTTTTTCTAAATAACAAAATATTGTATTTGGCAAGTGAACAATTCAGTTCATACTTTGGTGGTGGAAACACAGCTAGGGTACAGCATAGACCAAGTTCATACACATACAAGTAAACAAGTGGTCAGCTATTTTTAAATGCACCTACTCTGTCCAATGATTAGATGATCCAAATTCTGAGGACAGAAGTAGGTTATTTCCATTTGGCCACCCACTGAATACTTCCATAATACTGCATTTTTGAACAAAATTATATGAAGCTTGTTCTCATCTAGGATGATATATTAGAATTCCATGGGAGCTGAAGGACATGACACACAGACTTCTACAATGTCTTGGGTCAGAGGGGTCTTGAGAGGGTCTATCATTTCTACTGAGTAGGCATCTTCCAGTACCACAGCAATTCTGACATAGAGCAGAGTACAACAAAACATATCAGACTCATTCCCACTATGTGCTCTACCAAAATCTAAAACTTTTGCCATACTTGCCTTCAGATTTTTAATAAAATAAAACACTACAGATATAATTGGAGGCTGTTGGTCACCTCTTCATGACACCATCCTCCTCCCTACCCCTCCCGCTGAGGTGACTGCTATCTTGAATTTGGTATTTACCATCCCCATACAGGTTATTAGATTATAACTGTGTAAGTCTGAATCCATATATAGTGCTGTTTTGCAGGTTTTCAAACTTTAAATAAATAACATCTTTTTAACGTTTGTTTATTCCACTCAATGTTTGGGATTTACCCACACTGATCTAGATAACCCAATTAATTTTAACCCATTACTGTATGCTACTGTACGAATATAACAATTTATTTTCCCCATCTCCTGTTGATGCCCATCTGTGTTTTTTTCTCATTTTACACCATTCTTAACAATGTTGTGATAAACATTTTTGTACATGATTCCTTATGCACATGTACAAGAGTGTCTCTAAACACTGAGGGCACGCCTGGATGGTTCAGTCGGTTAAGGGTCCAACTCTTGATCTCAGCTCAGGTCTTTTTTTTTTTTTGAAGATTTTATTTATTTATTTGACAGAGAGAGACATAGTGAGAGAGGGAACACAAGCAGGGGGAGTGGAAGAGGGAGAAGCAGGCCTCCCGCTGAGCAGGGAGCCCGATGCGGGGCTGGATCCCAGGACCCTGGGATCATGACCTGAGCTGAAGACAGACGCTTAATGACTAAACCACCCAGGCACCCCTCAGCTCAGGTCTTTATCTCAGGGGCACGAGTTCAAGCCCTGCATTGGGCTCCATGCTGGGTGTGGAGCCTACTTAAAAAAAAAAATTGCTGAGAAATGAGATTTCATGATTGAAGGATATGTGTACGTTCAGTTCTTTATTTCACTAAATTGCTCTTCAAAAGTGGTTGTATCAACTTACAGTGTATAGACAGCTTCCATTGCCCTCCAACCTTACCAATGTTTGATTTGTCAGACTTAAACATTTTACCATTACGAAGAATGTAAAATGATACTTCATTGATATTTCATGGCCATTTCCAATGTTACCTAGTAAGATGATAATGTTCACCTATTTATTGACCAGTCAGGTTCCCTCATCTGTAAATGACCAACTTGTGTCCTTTGCCCGTTTTTCTATTGAATTCTTTCTCTAAATGATTTGTCAGTTTTATGTATCACATTCTATCCTGTCTTTTCACTTTGCTTATTCGATCTTTTCGAACAGAAGTTCTAAATTTTGATGTAGTTAACTAAATACTTCCAATTATGTTTTGTGGCCACAGCTAATTTTAGGCCATTGTTCTACCACAGAAATTTTAGAATCAGCTTGTCAAGTTCCAGGAGAAGTCCTGTTGGGATTTTGAACATCACTGAATGGAATTTATAAATTAGTTTGGTATTTGAATTGCTCTAGTGGCTCTTTGGACAATAAAGACCTGGTGGCTGAAAGATTCACTAAATTTTTTTGTTTTTATTAACCTCTGAAGGCAACAATTACATACCTTATAAACTGCCATGTCTCTCCCATTTACAGATTTATAAACTCAGTCACTCAACAGACATTAAAAGACCCCCCAAAAGCTTGGAACTCTCCTGACTCTTAATTCTATTCCAGATATCTCTCCTAAGAAAATAACCCTAAATATGGGGAAAAAAAAAAAAAAAACCTAGCTGGATATAGAAAATGCTCATGGCAGCATTCCTCACAGTAGGAAAAAATGGAAATAACCTAAATATAAAAAACAGAGAAGTGTTTAAGTAAACTAGAGTAAACAAACCCAATGATGAACTATGCCAATAAAATTCCTGGCTCTAAAATCCATATATAACAACAATGAATTAGTGTTCACTTCTGGCAAAGCATTAAGTGATAAAATTAAGATATCAATTTTGTGTACCATGTGAATACAGCTGCAGAAAAAAACCTTCAAATATGTGCACGGGAAAATAAAATTTACTAAAATCTTTACAACAGTTTGGTTAGAAGTAGGGATTACAGATGATTTCTCCTACCCTGCTTAAAAAGATATACTGTCTAAAGTTACTAGGAGGCGATTTTGTTACTCTTACATCAAAGAAAAAAATATGAGAAAGAGCCCAGTGTTATGGGGAGCTAGTTTCCATTTATAGCAAAATGCATTTAAGAAATATTTCTAACAAGTAATAAAAGTGAGCAGTACCCCAGTATTTCTTCAGTGCTTCATTTAAGGCTCAAAGAAACACTTAAGGCAGAAAGCAAAGCATTCAAATTCCGACAGTCGGGATTTGGATTTTGGCTCTATTGCTGATTATTGTAGTAACTTTTGGGAAACAGTATCCACCTATTTTCTCAGTGGAAAAAAATGAAAATATTTAGAGATAGGGATTAGAAACAAATGGGCATTCATTAAAATACCTCTAAAATTTCATCCAAGTCATGCAAAACGGAAAGACTGCCTATTTCATTTTCTCTCAAGTATAAAGGAGAGTAAACAGCAGGGAGTTTGCCATTGGAAAGTGAAAAACAAATGCCCATATTACTTCTGTTGCACTTTACCTTAAAGACATGGAAAGCTTCAAACTGAATGTTGGGACTTTTATCCCGAAGGAGGTTCATCATCAGTTTGAGGTTCTCTGGCTTGCTGATGTACTTTGTCATAATGGCAAAGTTGTGTCGGTCCAGGATCAGTTCACCTAGCAGCTACAAAAACAAAAAACAAAAAAAACAAAAACCCAAATCAGAGAGATAATCTATCTGAGAGTCATCTGATTCAAAATATATTGCACTTCTCCCTGAAAAACAAACTATAAATGTGGTTAGGAATGCTGATGTGAAAAAAAATTGAGAGTCCTTAAGTGCATCTTACGTTTAGCACAGGCATGAAAGGAGTAGTTATTATTGTTATTTTAAGCCTTTCGCACAGTTTTGATAAAGTCGGTGATTAATACATTTCTGAATCTTTTTTTTTTTTAAAGCCAGTCGTTGCTGCAGCTTAAAAAAGCTCTCTTTGTAGCTCTCACCCAGAGCTAGCCAGAAACGAATTTATTATTTTCATCACTCACTTTAATCTTGCTTCCCAGTACTGCATTGTTTCTTAGGCATTATGGTAGAATAAGAATAACAAAATTGACTCTACAATTATACCTCTCTTCCTTGAATAAATGTACTCTAGTAGCTTACTGGGAAAATAGGTTATGCCAAGTGAATGTTAACTTCCCCCTAACTTTTTTTTTAAATTTTATTTTATTATGTTATGTTAATCACCATACATTACATCATTAGTTTTGGATGTAGTGTTCCATGATTCATTGTTTGAGTATAACACCCAGTGCTCCATGCAGAACGTGCCCTCCTTAATACCCATCACCAGGCTAACCCATCCCCCCACTCCCCTCCCCTCTAGAACCCTCAGTTTGTTTCTCAGAGTCCATAGTCCCTCATGGTTCGTCTCCCCCTCCGATTCCCCCCGCCTTCATTTTTCCCTTCCTGCTATCTTCTTCTTCTTCTTTTTTTTCAAACATATAATGTATTATTTGTTTCAGAGGTACAGGTCTGTGATTCATCAGTCTTACATAATTCACAGTGCTCACCATAGCACATACCCTCCCCATCCCCTAACTTTTATTACAAAACCAGCTAGATAGCCTGGGGGGGAGGTGACGAGGAGAATCACTGACCCTGAATCCATATTAAGTTTAGTATGTACAGCAAGTTTTTATAAAAGAGTAAAACAAAACATTTTCTGGTGACAATTAATAGCTCCCCCCAAATGCAGCAGTATTGCATGTTATGAACTGCGGGTCTGTGCCTCCCTAAAATCTACATGTGGAAATCCTAACCTCAAATGTGAAGTATTAGGAGGTAGGACCTTTGGGAAGGTAGGATCGCAGGAATGGGACAGCTGCTCTTACCAAAGAAACCCCAGAGAGCTCTCTGCTGGCACCTTGATCTCGGACTGCCCAGCCTCCAAAACTATGAGAAACAAATGTTGCTTAGGCCACCCGGTCTGGGGCATTTTTGTTATAGCAGCACAAACAGAATAAGACACTTCAAAACAAAATAAAAATACTCAAAGTGAGAATAGTTGAAGGCCCACTAGCAGCACAGTTGACCGTTCTTTACCTCATAAACTTTTATTGTCATATAGGAGTAAGAATTCTTTTTTTTTTTTAAGATTTTATTTATTTATTTGAGAGAGAGAATGAGAGAGAGAGAGAGCACAAGAGGGGGGAGTGGGAGGGGGAGAAGCAGACTCCCCGCTGAGCCGGGAGCCCGATGCGGGACTCGATCCTGGGACTCCAGGATCATGACCTGAGCCGAAGGCAGTCGCTTAACCAACTGAGCCACCCAGGCGCCCGAGTAGGAATTCTTAAAACTTCAGCAACCAGGCAGCTGAAATGTACCCTTCACATAGTTTTATATATAATCTACTTAGTTTTCGAATTCTCCTATTCACCAGACTTTTTCTGGATGCCTCATTGTACTGATGGTTACAGAAATCCTGGATGGGAGGAGAAAGCACACGGAACTATGGACTGGCTGTCTATCACAATATGGTCCAGCCACAGAACCCCAGAGGTGTGTATGTAGTGGCGTGTGTTGTGAGTGTATGAGTGTGTGTTTGTGTGTGTCTGGCTGCCAGTAAACAACCACCTTGCCTTTGATGCATCTTGTGTCTATTTAACAAATAAGAACTACATACCTTAAAGTTAGTTTAGTGCACAAAAATAATGGTTGTTAAGCATAAGACATGATAACACTGTTGGATGTTAGCTGGTTAGTCTCAAACATGGGACAATAGTCATGTAAACTGTTCATCTTCATTTTCCTTAATCTCTCCAGCATCTAAAGCTAACTGAACACTCTTCTGGAAACTTCTTCTTTGCTTTTGGTTTCAAGGCGACTGCATTCTTCTGGTTTCTTATCTCTTGCAGCTTGTTCCTTTGCTCCTGTGTTACTGCTCCCCTTCCTTTTGCTCTACTTTTGCTCTACACGTGTAGGAATTTTCCAAGTGGTATACGTGAATCTCTGATCTTTTTTCTCTCTCCAGTCTCATCTATGCCCATGGCTTCAACTGTAACATCTAGGAAGATGTCTCCCAAACCTACATTTGGAGTCTCAGTTTCTTTCCTGAGCTCTATACCAACGTTTCTAACTGCCCACCTGGTGGCCCCAGTGGACCACTTTCCTGGCCAATCACACTGGTGTCTCTGAAACCAGTTCCTTTTCCTCTTTGTTAATGACACCACGCCAGCCAGGCTCCTCACGAAGAGTTGAAATCTTCCTTGGCTCCTTCTTTCCCCGCCACTCCCATCAAATCAACATCCAAGATCTGCCAATTTTCTGCTTGGAAATGTCTCCAACATTCTTCGTTCCACTTTTACTGCCTCTATCCTCTTTCCAGCCCTCATGACGTCTTGCCTGGGCTCTGGTGGCAGCGGGCAGAATGGTCCCTTCTTCAGGCTAGACCCAATCCAATCCAGCCTGCTCCTTGTGCCAAATGCACCTTCCTGAAGATCAGCCCTATTCACGCTACTAATTCCACTGAGAGACTGCATGAATAAACAAACGAATCCCTGGATGCCCATGGATGAAGGGGAGAAAGTTAAGCTCCTCTGAGGATGGCATTCAAAGGCTTCTGTGCTCTGGAGTCGCTTCTGCTTCCCTTCCGTGGAGCCTCACTTCCTCCTCATTGTTCTGCCTCTACGGCTTCACTCTCCTTGCTCCCAACGTTTCCCCCGGCTTTATTTAGACATAATTGACAGAATGGCCTATACTTGAAGTGCACATCATGATGATTTGAAATATATTTACATTGTGAAACATTCACCGCGATCAAGTTAATTAGCACATCCATCACCTCACAGTTACCCTTTGGTTTGGTGTGTGATGAGAGTGCTTAAGATCTACTCTCAGCAAATTTCAAGTACTCAGCACAGTACTGTTAACTATAGTCACCAGGCTATATACATCGGATCCTCAGGACTTAGTCTGCTCATAACTGAAAGTGTGTACCCCCTGACTAACACCTTCCATCCCCCTGCCTCCCAGGCCCTGGGGAAGCACCATTCTACCTGCTGCTCTGGGCTCTGTTTCTCCCCAGCTGTACTCACTTTGCCTTGCAGTACAGATTTACTTGCCTTTTTAGAACATAAGCTCCATGTGGGCATGTATCAAATCTTGCTTGTGTTTGTCCCCTTTACAACTTAACTGTGTGATGTGTGTGGATGCTGCTGGGGAAATAAAGTCCACAAAATGCGGAAAAGAAAGCAAGCAGTTCGATTATTGAATAAGTGTATCCACAGCACAATATTATAGGTAATCTGTGAAAAAGATCTTAGGAAGACAGATAAAATTCCACGGGGTTTATACAGCCATGCAGCTACGATCCATTGCATACGTGTCTTCTCAAGATGAAAGGCAATCCATTCCCTGTAAGAGGACTTGACAGCACCTTTCGCTATGCACCCTTCAAAGTTCACTCTGAACCCACCTGGCCACTAAGGAAACTACTTGTTTTAGCTAACTGCCTTTATTCAGCTAATAAAGAGGATAATAAAACTCATGTCTCTGACAAGCAAATGGTTACAGCTCAGAGAGAAGCACCGAGGTTAACTTCCCCGATGACGGGGAGACAGTGTACTATCTTCCTACATGTTTACATGTCAGCGGGAGGACTCCCGGACTCTCAAAAAAACCCAACCACTTTTGGTTGTAAAGCTGACAAGATATATATATATGTCTATGTATATAAGACATACCCACTTAAGATATACATGGGCATATATAGATAATAGATATGCCTCATTACAGACATAGATCTGTATCTATATGTACAGATTCTATATTGATATAAAGATATATTTATATAAAACATAAAAATCATTATATAATACATATCATGTATATACAAATACATATAGTACACACATACACATATTAAAAGGTCTTTCAACAAGAAATTTCATTAAAAAAATTTACCCTTAAAATTTGCACGCACACACACACACTCAAGAATTTGCTGAAGTGACATTTATAAGTTAAATTCAGATTAAGTCACTTTAATTTTTATTACAGGGGGATGCCTACATATAAATTTTATCCATTCGATCCTCTGCTAATATAATTTCACTACTTTTCTGAAACAATCGTGTTAAATCATTTGACTAACAACACTGACTCTTTTAGCCATTAAATGTTAATCTATTTTAATTAATACTGACAATGACAAAATGCTGCACTTCATCATAATACAAAGCATTTAACATGATAAAATGGAAAAAAATTGTTTTTAGTTCTCTGTATTAGATTTTATAGGCTTCAATATAGAGTAAAGCCAAGCACAGCAAGTAGAAATGGTGAGTTTTTTTAAAAACTTAGGGTTTTAATGAAATTGACCAGAGCCAAAAACAACCCCCAAAATTCTGCCAAGCTTCTTTTGAATTATAATCTTTCTTGCTAGTAATTAAATGGCTCTGAAGAAGATAAGAAATAAATTCCAAAGCTCCGTCATGTGAGGGGAAGGAATTTCTCTGTTAATTATTTTTTATTGACACCAGGAATCTAAGCACCCCAAGGTAGTTCAGAAAAATTTAGAATATGATTACCAAAAGATGGCAGCCAGTACTTCGGAGTCAGAAAATTACCTAGCTTTAAGACAGTTTATCACGTACAGAATACTGTAAGTATGTAAGTTTGCTCCCCACCAAATTTCTCTTACATATTGTACTGTAAGAAATGATGAAACATAGATGTACAAAATAGTACAGAATTCGGAGATATACACATGGCTGTGTCAAAACAGAACATATTGCTACCACAGACCTAATTCTCAAAAGGAAAAACCAACAGTGCACCAGCAGAGCTCTCCAAAACGACATTTTTCTATTAAAGATAAGGATACACAGCTCTCTCCTTGAATACGGTGAAATTAGACTGTTTTAGTGATGTCTCTCCCTATAATCTAGCATTCAAAAAAGCCAGATCTTTAGTACTCATTTTAACAATTTCTGCATTCTTGGATATGCTTTATCTGCCTTTTACTGGTTTTCTTCAGTGTCCAACCAGTGCTCAGTTTTACCATAGTGCAAATAAAATATTTGTGAGACACGCCACTATAAAAGATTTTAGGCAAGAGTAGCAGCCAACATAGTATGTCTGGGTGGATTAATAAAGAACAGGAAAGAGGCCTTCTGAGTGGGCTTGGGCATCTGTAAATAAGGAGGAAGCACAATCAAGTGGGCAAGGGAGAGTTTCAATACCACATCCCGACTCGGTTGCTCCTTGCCTGTGCCGCTGGGAACAGTGCAGAGGTGTCTGGCCCCAGAGCCATTGGAAAGGGGGCTGGATAGTGGAGAGCCAGCTGGCAGCAGACAGCAGTGAAGAATGAACCTTCTCACTCCCCTATGCTCCCCACCAAATTTCACACATGTGCTGAATTAACAAGCTTCTGTATCAAATGTAAATGCGTCCTGCTAGGGAGCAGGCCAAGGTGGGGTTGACGACATCTTGAGAACAGAATGAGAGCAATGGGCAAATGGGTAGGAAGGGATGACAGGGTAACAAGAAGGAAAAAGCAGGAAGGAGGCCCAGAAGGGAGACGTTTAGGGGAACTGTTAGCTTTGTAACTTCACCTAAAGCCCTAGTAGAGACAGTCGATCGCAGAAAAATTTCTATCACCAATTCCTGTCACTGCTGAAAACGGTACGAGGGTAAATTCTAAAGTCTATGACTCTCATCTTTCTTGATCCCAATTTAGTTGAATCACCTTAGTTTATACCAATGTTGCTACTTTGGTTCAGGATCTTATGGATTCCCACTAAAAAGAGGAAGGATTTAGAAAATGTATGAGAGACTTCTTATACACTGGCGTCTCGGAGCATTGTCAGCTCTGTTTACCGTTCAATTTCTCCTTCCCACCGAGGGCGATGATCTCTTATAATACAGACCAGCTCCCCTGTTTTGGGCTGTGCTTGTGAAAACCTTTACAAATAAGGAATTCTATTCTTTAGGTACACAGCTGTGGCAACAGGATGCGGCCTTATTTTCAAATGCTTTAACAAGCTTTCTGGACGTGGGCGAGCACGGCAGCATGTCACCTGCCTTTGTCTGAAGCTTGATCTCATCAATCCAGGCTCCAGCAGCAAGAACAGTGAACCCAAGGTATATTTTCTATATGGATCACCTAGGGTGGGTTTCCACGCAAGGGGAAACTCAATAAAGAGTGCTGAATGACTGACTGAAAATAGCACACTGACCCCCCCAACAATGGGTAATGCTGGAGCAGCAAGGGCACAAATTCAGGGGCAGGCGGGTCCTGGCTAAGGCAAAATCACAGGTAAAGTGAACTGACAAAAATGTCATACAAAATACACTTAGTTTATCATTTCACTTAAAAGTGTATTCAATATTTAGAAACAAATACATTGTTCTATGAATGTCACTATCCCAACATGTAAAAATAATACAAGTGATGTTTAGTAAGCCCAAACATCATATAAAGTGCCTGACAAAGCCAGCCGATTATTATCTGCCAGTAACTTTCTTTGGAATATCTGAATGGAATCTGAAGGGTAGAGATGCAGCTCTAACTGACGTCCCACTCCCATAGGACCAGTCCTACCTCCTCTTGACCAAATGGCTGCTTCCAGGCACTTTTTTAGAAAATTAATTTATTTATTTGAGGCTGGGGCGGGGGAAGGGGGCAGAAGGAGAGGGAGAGTCCCAAGCAGACTCTGTGCTGAGTGCGGAGCCCTATGTGGGGCTTGATCTCAGGATCCCCAGATCACGACCTGAGCCGAAACCAAGAGTGGGACGCTCAACCAACTATGCCACCCAGGCGCCCCCAGGCACATTTTCACTGAAGGAGGGAAGGCTACTCACTGACTATGTGGCCCTACTCTGCTGGGCTGCCTGGGCTGGGCGAGAGCGAACTTCCACAGGCATTTCATAGGTGATGTAATCTCCAAGAGCAAATGCCACTTGGTTACACACAAACACCCCTACCACCCCTGTCATCACTTCCTGTCCCTGCGCCCTCCTTAACTGTTCTAAAATCACCTGAAAATTATATATTTATCTTTTTCTTTATCTATTGTCTGTTCTCCTCCAACAGAATATAAGGTCCTTTCAGGTGCCACTTCATTTTGTTCTTGGCTGTCACCGTAATGTTAGGAATAGGAGCACATAAATATTTGTTGACCAAATGGAATGCCCCATTACCCTCCTCACCACCCCCAATAATTGGTCCAACTAAACTATTTGCAGATAATTGAGCACTGACTTTATTTTCTTTTCCAGCTGGTGATATCATCTTTTAACCTCTTTCCAGATTCTGTTTCAGTGTAATACTAGCATTTTTAGAGAAGCACAGTTTTGGGTCCATGATCAAGTACCCAAATTTATTAAAGATTATTAAAGATTATTCTTTTAACTCTTAAAGAGTGACTATTTTCATATTTCAGAATCTTCGCTGGAAATACAATTTGAACATTTCATGTTAAATGGTGGAGGAATTAAAAATGACCTACAGTAGAACACTAACATGAATGCTCAGAATATGGAACCCAGAAATGCAAAAAAAAAAAAAATTCTTTAGAAAACTATGTTACAAATCTGGGGGTAAGTGCTCAGATGGGGGTGAGCCCCATCACATAACCTTTTCCTCTCCCCTTCTCTGCAAAATAGCCCACAAAGTCTAGTTTACAGAGAGATGTATAAGAGAAATAGGGTCATTTTTTCCTGTTTCAGATACACTGAAAGAAAACTACAGGAGAACCTTGCTGATTCTTATAAACAGTAATTCAGATCTTAATTTCAAGCTAAGAGTGATTTCTTTTCATCTCCACAAAATACGCCCTAGGAGAGAACCGTGGTTGTATTTAAATTAACTTAAGCTTGATTTTCTTTTGGAGCTGAAATATATTAAATTCTACTTTATCATGTACATATTATTTATATTGTTACTTCCAAAAAGTCTTTGAGGCAGGACACTTACATTGTTTTGCTACAAAATACAGTCATAACATGAAACATATTTCCCAAGTTACCAAAAAAGGGACACCTTAATTTTTCTCTATGTACTTGTTCACTCAGAGCCATCATTTACTAGTATGATATCAACTGGGACTCTTTTTTTTTTTTTAAGATTTTATTTATTTATTTGAGAGAGAGAGAATGAGAGACAGAGAGCAGGAGAGGGAGGAGGGTCAGAGGGAGAAGCAGACTCCCCGCCGAGCAGGGAGCCCGATGCGGGACTCGATCCTGTGACTCCAGGATCATGACCTGAGCCGAAGGCAGATGCTTAACCATCTGAGCCACCCAGGCGCCCTCAACTGGGACTCTTAAAGAAATTTGATATTACTTTTATTTTATTTTTTTAAAGATTCCATTTATTTATTCATGAGAGACAGAGAGAGAGAGGTGGAGGCAGAGGGAGAAACAGGCTCCCTGCTGAGCAGGGAGACCAACACGGGGCTCGATCCCAGGACCCCGGGATCATGACCTGAGCTGAAGGCAGATGCTTAACCATCTGAGCCACCCAGGTGCCCTGTAATTTGATATTACCTTTAAAGATTGTCTCTTAGTCACATAATTCTCAGACTGAAGCAATTTCTCATAGTCTTCAAAAATCTAATGAAAAGAAAATAAATATTAGAGTGTAAAACCAGCAGTGATTTCTCTGCATTAGGTTTGCTTGCTCTCTTGCTTCAAAAGTAAATCCCCAACCCACTAGGCCAGTGCAGCCCAGCTGCTGTGCTTTGCATCTCTCTCTGTGCGTAATAACTCTATGCTGATCACACTGTCCACAGGGAGCTTTCCCCCATTTCATCATCCTCATTTACACATAAAGACACTGGGGCATAGGAAGGTCAAGTGATACAACAGATATACTTGTCCATTTTATTTTCGTTCTGCAAATTAAAAATTGAGTAGAAAAATGGAGTATTTGAGTCTTCTCAGTACACTCTTTTGAATAAAACATCTATTAACTCATCTATTAACTGAGTAGCAAAATAACACCTTTCATGCCATTTTAGAGAAGTTGGTAGCTGGTAGCTATTAGTGCATGAATAATTTAGGAAAAGATTCAACACACTTAGGGCTTCACATGATACCCCATGAAGAATCAAACTGTCAAGTTCATAGTGTGGACAGGTAGAGGAATGGGGCAACTTTTGCCACAAAATGGCCATGCTAATCCCAGCTGGTCTCTCTGGAGGACTTCCACACTCCCCAAAAGCTGGGGGATGCTGGTGTTTGGGGCTCCTGTTTCCCCCTGTGGCTGTCAACTATTGCCTGGGGCCTTCAGTTTCACACAGAGTGCCAGACGCTGGGGAAGCTAAGCGTCCACCTCCTACCACGCAAGGACACGCCTCAGAGACCACGGAGGTGGGAGGAGCGAGCCCAACGGGGAACTGAAGGCAGGAGAGTCCAGGGGCTGAGGAGGGAGGAAAACAGTCCTGGGTCCTCAGAGGGCCAAGTGTGAGGTGTGTGTGCATGGATGTGATGAGGGCAAGCAGTGCACGCAGAGGATAACTTCCAACAAGGAATTAAGAAAGTGAAAAGTAAAAACAAAACCAGGTAGTGCACATTAAAGTCATAATAATTATATGAAGGACTTAACTGTTTATTCTGACAGGATTTTGTGGGACATGAAATTTATCAAATTTTGTGGTAAGTTTTATAAAATTTTAGTTCCAGTATAGTTAACATACCGTGTTATATTAGTTTCAGGTGTATAATATAATGATTCAACACTTCCATACATCACCTGGTGCTCATAATGACTAGTGCACCCTCAATCCCCATCACCTATTCCCCCATCCCCCCTCACCTACCTCCCCTCTGGTAACCATCAGTGTGTTCTCTATAGTCAAGAGTTTGTTTCTTGGTTTCTCTCTTTCTCTCTTCTTTTTCCTTTGCTTGTTTGTTTCTTAAATTCCACATGAGTGCAATCATATGTAACCAGAAACTTCATATACATGTGTAAGGGATGACTGACTCCCCAGGACACCAGTTTCACATGCTCCCATTTCATAGTTTACTGCTAAAGAAATATGAAACTAGGAAAGTATGAAATGTCTGAGGGAGCATGAGGTCTCGGAGCTGGTGTTCAGGTCAGTGCAGCAGGCTCAGTGTCTGTGAAGCTACCAAATTACACAAGACGTGACTATAGGTACAAAGACAAAATCGGGTAAATGAGGGATCACAGAGAATGAGTTTACCATCTTACAAATTATTGCGTACTATTTCCTGAATGCAAAGCATTCCTGCACAACACATTTCCATCACTCATTCTACAGAAAAAATTAGTAGCTGATGCCGTGGGTTTTGTCATAAACTATCTTAGCTCTCTTATTTTCACTTATTATAAATGGACATCTAATGAGTCTTTAACATTCCATCCAGCATCTACAGTTTCTGATCAGGTTCCTGCCTCTCAGGGAGCTCAAGAACCAGCCAGGAAGGTACAGACACATCATAATACAATGTGGAAAATGGTGGCAGCCAAGGTGGGGAGGGAGCAAGCATTTGTATATGTGGATGGGTGGGATTAGGGAAAACTTCCTAGAAGAGTCACGGTTCAGTGGAATCTCAAAAGGATGGGTTAGATTCACCATTTGAGAAGGGACTTGGAAGACAAATATTTTGGCATTTCTACAAGTAAGTAAAACTAATTATCAAGCAAGTAAAATGATTTCTTTCAGTGAGGGTGGAGTGCTCTTCTCTGGTTACCTACTGCCTCTTAAGGGCAATATGGATGCTCTTAAATCAGGATCAAAGTAAGCAGGAGCCAGTCATTTTCTGGAGCTCTGGATACAACAACAGAAACAGATGTGAAAAATGAGAAAGCCCTAATCTCCTGCCATCCTCAGTTTTCCACAAAGTTTCCTGATGACTTGGCTTCCAGGTAAATGGACAAATTGGGTGCATGGTAGACATGGTTGGTGTCTGTTGTGAATCATAAATAGGAGCAAGTGTCCATAGATCTAAGTGGGGGGAAGAGAAAATGAGGTAAAATCTTAAAAAGGACTTCTACTTACAGTGTCATAATTTTGTTCTAAGAAGTCTGCGACCAACACTTTATGTCTGGTTAGTAAGTCCTAGAAAAAGAACAGTTAAGTGAAATAAAATTATTATAGCTAATAAATTTTATAAATCTGGCTTTTCTAAGAATTTTATAAGTCCATTCACTTGAAACATAAAAGTTTCTGAAGAATATTTTCTTTACATCCACAAAATTATTTCCATTCTTAGTTTAAGATGTGAAATACAAGCTTGTTTCATGTCAACAACAAAAAGTTTTAATTCATATCATTGTTAAATTTATGATAGGAATAATTTAACTAGTGAAACAAATAGCGCCTAAGAGATGGGGTTTACAGTATATTTCTTCAAGCCATGACTACATTGTGATTATGATCTAATAAATATCCAAATAAAGTTTATGATCTATTTGAAATGTGATAAATAGCTATTTTTCTTTTTTTTTTAAAGATTTTGTTTATTTATTTGACAGAGAGAGACACAACGAGAGAGGAAACACAAGCAGGGGGGCGTAGGAGAGGGAGAAGCAGGCTTCCCGCCGGGCAGGGAGCCCAACTCGGGGCTTGATCCCAGGACCCTGGGATCATGACCTGAGCTGAAGGCAGATGCTTAATGACTGAACCACGCAGGCACCCCTATTTTTCTTTTTTTTTAAAGAATGCCTAATGGCTTAAAACCGTATCTCATAAGTTAACTTAAAAGATTTTTAGGGGGGACGCCTGGGTGGCTCAGTCGTTGAGCGTCTGTCTGCCTTCGGCTCGGGTCATGGTCCCAGGATCCTGGGTGGAGCCCCGCATCGGGCTCCTTGCTCAGCGGGAAGCCTGCTTCTCCCTCTCCCACTCCCCCTGCTTGTGTTCTCTCTCTCACTGTGTCTCTCTCTGTCAAATAAATAAAATCTTTAAAAAAAAAAATTTTAGGGATTTCAACTTTTAGTTTTTTTACTTAACCGCGTTTAAAACAGAGGTGCCAGTTTAAAACAGAGGTGCCTAGGACGCTGGGAAGCTCAAAAATGACACTTAACTGAGCCGTCGCAGGCTCATCCTGCTCGCAGGTTAATGGACTGTGTGGTGGTGTGCAGTGACTGACTCATACAGTGCACCCTTTCAGAGCTAAAGACAAGAAGACCGATCTTATTACAGGCATGACTCTCAGAAAACTGAACAAAAGCATAAAGGAACATTTGACTGTCTTCAGCTCACACCTAAATTATATCCTTAATTCACCTTACTGTTGAAAGAAAACAAGCCTCACCTAATCCCTTTTATACGCTTAGAGGCTAAATACTCTGGGTAGAATGTAGAATTTCATTAAAAACATAACAAGAATTTTAAAGTTTTCCAAAATAAGTTCTTATACTTTAATACACATTTAATTAAAACTTCCTAAAAGCATACAGAAGATCCACAACATAAATTCACAGAGAACAAGAAGGCAGCAGCAATGGCAAAACTCACCTATTTCTATTTTACTAAGTAAAATATTGAATGCATTCTTGCGCTATTAATTTTCAAGTTCAAGAACAATGATATCATTTCATTACTTATCATCACATCTTGATTGACCACTGCGCCTATTAGTGGAAACCGGTACTTTTTTTTCCCAGTATAACATCCAGTATTCTGGAACTGGAATTTTAAAATGGGAAAACCCTCTATAGGAATTCATTCCTGGTCTGTCTGAGGTCAAAACTCAAACTAGCTCCTCTCTCAGGGGACCCCCCAAAAAAGAATAAGGTAGTTCCACAGTATTCTTTGCGGTGTCTAGTTTTCAGACACCCCCTTCCCTAATGTCCTGAGCAGGATCAGTGATTTTTCTGAGCTGACCCTAGTTAGAAAGAGTTTCTTTCTAAAGGCTGCAGCAGACCTTGGCTCCAGCTGTTGCAACAGTCGGCAGGCTTGAGTATGGGGACTGTGCCCTCTCATGGCCCCAGGCCTGCGCACACAGTGATGAAGCCAGCCGACGGAGCACCATGCAGATGAGGGCTGCCTGGGAAGGTTTCCATTCATTATAACATTAGTGCTACTCCAAAGAAAGAGGAATCGGGAGGGAGTCCTGATAGTAGCACCTCTGCCAAATTCCAAGGGAAAAAACTTGAAATAACTTACATATCCAATAATAGAGAAATAAAATATGATGGGGTAGAATTCCTCCAGCATGTGTAGATGGTGGGTGCAGCCAATAAATGATTCTCTCTTTCTCTCTCACTCACACATACACACACTCACACTCATGTGTATATATTCATAGCTATACCCTCAAATTTCTGTACGTAGTAGATGCATGTACAAAGCTGGAGGAATTGACCATATATATACACATACACCCACGCATATATATACACACATAGTACAAAGACAAATACAATTGCTGCATCATTATAGATCATATAAGAGTGGAAAAAATTAGCTAAAATCCTACCCAAAAAGGAAAAAGCAGAAAGTTGCAAAGAAAAATAAAGTTCAAATTTTTAAAAATTTAAAATTTTAAAAATTAATTGAAACAGTGTACTCTTTCATTGCACCTCCCCACAATTCTGTTTTGACAAGACTAAGTTTTGCATAGTGTATGTATCATGCTAAAAAAAATGTGACATTGCTAAGTGAGTGACTTCTGCACACCTTGGGAGACCCAGGGTGGAGTGACAGAGACACACTCAATGGCAGGGATGTGACAGTAGATGGGCCAAACAGCAGCTGCCATTCATGGAGGATTTACTCTGTGTCGCGGAGCGTGCAGAGTGCTTTACACATGCTATTTCTAATCTTCACAACTCTGCAAAGCAGGGATTATGTTCTTCATCTCACAGATGAGGAAAACGAAACTCCAAGGTTAACTACCTGCTCAAGGACACAGAGCCAGTTAGGTGGCAGAAGGAGTTGAAACTCAAACCCCTCCTATCATGTCAATTCTTGGAAGGAGGGATGAAAAAAATTCTGATCGTCAGGAATGCTTTTTGGGAAAGGACAATTTGTAGACAACACTGTGACAAAAAATATAAACAATGTTAAAACATTAATGAATAAACTGGGCAACAGCCATCTTGGAGTTCAAAACAAAAAAGGCTAGTCTAAGAGGTTAAAAACAAAAGACAAAACCAAACGAAAATCAAACTAAAACCAAGCCAAACAACTAAAACCCCTCGAAGCCATCTACTTAAAAAGAAACAGTGATTTATGGTCACTGTTCTATTGTATTAACCACAGCATTTTGGAAAAATATAGAAATTGGCATTTCCAATATTGTTGGCATACTGGAAAACTTTTTTTTTTCAAAGACTTATTTGGGGGGAAGAGAGAGAGAGAAAGTGAGCATGGGGGAAGGGCAGAGGGAGAGGGAGAGAGAATAATAAGTAGATTCTGAGCGCGGAGCCTTATGCAGAGCTCGAGATCTAGGATCTGGAGATCATGACCTAAGCTGAAATCAAGAGTTGGATGCTTTTTTTTTTTTAAAGATTTTATTTATTTATTTATTTGACAGAGAGAAAGAGAGATAGCAAGAGCAGGAACATAGTAGGGGGAATGGAAGAGGGAGAAGCAGGCTCCCCGCTGAGCAGGGAGCCCAATTTGGGGCTCGATCCCAGAACCCTGGGATCATGAGCTGAGCCAAAGGCTGATGCTTAACGACTGAGCCACCCAGGTGACCCCCCACTTTTTTTTTTTAGCATACTAGAAAACTTTTTGTGAGTTTATTTAGATTTAGATTTTAATTTAGATTTTCAGAGACTTAAGTTTGATGGAAAATATGCTGAGGTATAAATTAACATCAATTTACTTTTGATATTTAATATTGTGCTGCAAATTAAATTGGGTTGAACATATGATAGCAAGACATTATTATCAAGTATAGTGTATTTTATTAAATGTTGAAAAATCTTTGAGGAAATTTTGAAAAATACATATTCGTTTCTATTTGCTTTTTGCCTCCATTAGAGTTTTTTCTTTGTTTATAATTATTTGTGAAGCTTTACTTACAGTCTTTAAAAAACAGAACCAACTTTGTTTCCATGACAGCAGAGTCATCAGATAGAAAAGGGAAAAAAATGGGACTATGCTATCTATTAATAGAAAACATCTCCTTAGCTGTTTAGGCACAGACAGTTCGCTAGAAAGAAATGGAATAATTTTTTGTGTTAAATGTCATTCTTCAGATTTGATGCATCAAGGCCTCTCTCACCGTGTGCTCTAGATAGACTTTGGCGGGGTTCATCTGCAGCCACTGTACAACCTCTGCTTTGCCGGGTGAGACTGAGTGGCCCATGGAATGGAGCGGGCCCGCAAGTGACACAGCACTCTGAGCACATACCCCGGCTTGTCGCCCTTGCTCCCTTTCCCTCCGCCCACCAGGCAACTCTCCTTACGGCTGTTCCCAGCCTTTTCCTCCCTCTCTTTTCTTCTTTCCCCTCACTCTTTGCTCTTCTCTTCTTCTCTTCTTCTGTCTTCTTCATCCCCCCCTAAAGTCCCCATTCTTCCTTCTCCTTCTTTCCCTTGCCCTTTGCCTTCTATCCCAGACTTGCAGGCTCGGCTCTTCCTCCGCCTGTCTTGTCAGGGAGAATCTAGGGGGCAGGCAGGACTGGAGGGAGACATGTGGAAAACCCCAGCAGGCTGGTGACCGCTCTCCCTTCAAACCCAGATTCTAGATTGGTTCCGTACTTACTTTGGGCTTGGCTGAGGCTTTTAGGGAACAATGGCACTATGGCTCCTTTCCTCTCCTTTATCAGGCAATTCAGCCCTGGTTCCAAACCTGCACTCCCCACCCCCCATTTGTTAAAACAAAAGTGCCACAGTAAATTGTCCTCCTCAAACAGGACTGTGACATGAGTTCTTATCAATTCAATTTTCCTCATTTCATGACGTTTCCAGAGATATTGTGGAAATGTCAGGATAGACTATGTCGCAGGCAGCAGCTGCCCAGACTTGCCTACCCCTTCACCAGGCTATCTTTAGGGCGGGGTCCACTCACCAGTGCTCCCTCTTCTTGGTCACAGAAAGCCCCTCTCACTGCACTGCCACAGGCCCCATCCCTTCCCTTTGCTAGAGTTTCTTCCCCCCAAGGTCCCCCTTCCTCCTGCTCTCCCCAGTCCCTGCTGTTTCTTGTCTCTGCTCCCTGACGCTCTCTCACACTTCCTGCCACCATGTGAGCCTATGTATCTCCTAATGGATTCAGGGCACCTTCTCAGAACAGGCTGAGTAAATCCCTAGGCTATAAATAATACATGGTTTTCAGTATAACGAACTACCGCTTTCACCTTTCTTGACCTCTGGAGAGCTGTTAAAAGGAACTATTTCTCATTCAGGTCATAGGCAACTTTGAAGTCATTTCCATAAAGTAATAAGATTAAAGTATTTACTAATACTGGTATATGGACTATGTCAATATTATTAAAGTATGTATTTAAGATAATATATAAAAAATAAAAAGTCATACATGGATTACAATTAGGTAACAATATATATTTCTATCCTAAAAAAAGTAGAAGTAAATTTGGAATGACATAAATGGAGCAAGTAAATTGCTGAAATGCTGTTAAAGAAATGAATCTGAATATATACATTTAAACGAGTCTTGTCTATTTTGTAATTGACTTGTTTGTCAATGATGCCATTACATCATCAGCTAAAAATATTTTCAGAATTCTTCTTCTGAAATTGTCTTCAGAGCCATGTGGTATACACTGAAGAAAATCAGACTCTATTTTAGTCATTTTAAAATTTATTTTTATTATCATTACCATTATTATTACCAAAACCAAAAATAGTTCTAGCTACCACGATCACCCACTTTACCCACTAATCTGAATGTCAAAAGTTTTGCGCTGTTTCCAAAACTTTTATCTGCCCTCGAAGGATAAAGCTTGGCCATTACTGAAAAATAACATGTCATAGACAATGATACCAGTTTCAAAATATATTAAATAATGGCAGGAACATAAGAATAAGTAAATGATTTTCTAAGACAGAAACCTTTAAGGTGACATCATTCATTGGATGTAGAAGTTCTAGTATGTTAGTTTGCAAATTAGCTACATTATTTTCTAATATGCTTTCTGAACAGCTTTTTTTTTTTTTCTGGTCCAACTCAGAAACAGGAAGTAGAATGGTGGTTGCCAGGGGCTGAGGGGAAGGGAGAAATGGAGCATTGTTGTTTAACACCTATTAGTTGAACAACAACAGTGTGAATATATTTAACACTATTGAACTGTACACTAAAAAATGGTTAAGATGGTAATTTTATGTTATTTTACAATTAAAAAAATTTTAATATAAAACTAAGATTAAATTCATTTCCTATTTAGTAACAGAGTAGATAATAAGCTTATAAGACTATAGATGATTATGAAAAAACCACAATTCATTTATTAGTAACTTGTTTCACTGGATGGGACTTTACAATTACACTGAGAAAGTACTGTGATGTCCTTCATATGCAAAGATGTCATTCTCCAGCTCCCTTCACTACCCACTTCCTTCCCCGCCCCCCCCCCAGCAGGTAAACTCTGATCCTCCTTCCCTGATAACCTTCCAGAGGTATTCAGTGCATATGAATCTTATACCCTTTGTTTTTAACATAAATGAAAGCATGCTTTGCAGAGAATACTACATGTTCCTTTTTTCACTTATATATTGCAATTCATTCTGTATGAGTTTGTGACAAGTATTTTGAGTTGTTTTTTCCAACTAACAGGCCTGACAGAATGCATTACTGATGCTCTTATGATTTGCATCACAGTTGGTTATGTTCAGGCCTAAGGAATAGCCTTTTCTTTTTTTTAAAATTAAACTGCCTCCTCAGAGGCCAACTGACTTTAACTAAATGCTAAAACTAAATGACCTAGCTGATTCAGAAAAAAAAAAATTACCTTAAAAGTAGCAAAGGCATCTGAAGCAATATCAAATGTTGACAACTCCACATACTTAAAGAAGTCTCGGAACTGATTAGAAAAGAGGATGGTTTTGGCAAGTGGTTCGTGTCGAATACATTCTCTCAGCATAATCCCACAACGTAAGGCGATCTGTGGGGCTTCATATCTAAAGCATAAACAAGAGAGAAATAGAGAACACTGTTATCCTATTAACAAAATAACATTAATGGCATCAAAAGAACCATTTCAATACTGCTATTAAAGGAAGCATACATACCCTTTGTCACAGTTCATTCAAACACCATTCATTCAATACCTACTTGAATATCTAAGATGTGCCTGGCACTATTCCAGACGCTGAGGACATAATAGTAAGCACAACAGGTCACTGCCTTCCTGGAGTTCCTATTTTTTAGTGGGAATACTATTTAATGGGGTAAGAGACAAATTATAAACAATGAAAAGAAATTTCATATTCTGAGAAGTGCTATTAAACTGAAGACATTAAAATATTTATACTACAGAGTGTGACTACTTAATTTACTTTCATTTAGACCGAGGGGTCAGGGAAGGAGCAAAGCATTCCAGGCAAAGAGAACTAACTGCAAAGGCTCCAAGGCAAGAACCAGCTTGGTGAGTGAGAGAGAAGGCCAGTGTGGCTAGAACGCAGGGGAAGAGTAATGAACGGTGTGAAATGAGGCAACAGTGGAGACGGCAGGGGCCAGATCACATACAGCTACATAAGCTAAGCTAAGGAGTGTGGTTTTAAAGTGTGGTAGGAAGCCTTTGGAGAGTTTAAAGCAAGAAATTAACATGGCCTAACATGCTTTAAAAAGATCACTCTGGGCACCTGTGGAGAATCTATTATAAAACAAGAGAAAAAATGGGGACACCTGGGTGGCTCGGTTGGTTAAGGATCTGACTCTTGATTTTGGCTCAGATCTCAGGGTTGTGAGATGGAGCCCTCATGGGGCTCCATGCTGAGCATGGTGCCTGCTTAAGATTCTCTCTCTCCCTCTCCCTCTGCCCCTCCCCCCTTCTCCTGTGCACTCTTTCTCTCTTAAAAAAAACAAAAACAAAAACCAGAAAAATGAGCTGGAAAGTTAGAATGAGAGCAGGGGGACCAGGTAGGAGGAGGAGAAGCCCAGCGGGAGATGACGGTGGCCTGACTGAGGTGGTAGTAGTACATTAGCGGACTGTGGGCAGATCGTGCATATTGTCTGGAGGAAGTGTCAACAGGCCTTGCTAACGACATAGCTGGGGTAGGGTGGGGAACAAATCTGGGGTGAAGGAAATTGAGGACTCAAGGATTCCCATATTTTTGGCCTGAATAATTGGGTAGATGGTGGTGCCAATTTTTAAGATGAGTAAAACTAGTAGTAGATGAACAGATCAGTGAAGAAATTAAAAGTTTGTTTCTGACCATGTTAACTTTGAGATGCCTAATATCTAAGTAGAGATGTCTCCTTGAAAGTAGAATATATCTATCTGGGGTTCAGGAAAAAGATAAGGATAAGGATAGATATGACATGCACATATATACAATTTGTATATAATAGATGACCAATAATAAATAGCTGCATATTGAATGACTCACTGAAATCATGAATTACAGCTCGAAACAAAAACTGCACTAGAAAAATACAATGTTTACTATAGGAAACAATTCAGGACTGGCACATTACATCTGTTCCATTCCTAATTTAATAACAATGCCTCAAGTGTCAAATTCAACACTGAGGGGCGCCTGCATGGCTCAGTCGTTAAGCGTCTGCCTTCGGCTCAAGTCATGATCCCAGGTCCTGGGATCGAGCCCCACATCAGGCTCCCTGCTCGGCGGGAAGCCTGCTTCTCACTCTCCCACTCTCCCTGCTTGTGTTCCCTCTCTCGCTGTGTCTCTCTCTGTCAAATAAATAAATAAAATCTTTAACAACAACAAAATTCAACACTGAAATAAATCTAGTTTGCGTTACATTCCAGTGTATGATAAGGTTTCAAGAAAGTGAACAAAACTTAGCTCAAGTAAAACAAGCTCAGTATTAAAATGATACAGTTGGCAACTGCGTAGTAAATAGCAGAAAAGAACAAAGGGAGATATAGTGGTAAAAGACTGGGAAGTACACATAGGATAAAAAAAAATCTTATTTCATTTCATTTCAGTTAAATACAATATTAATTTTTATGGTTCTAATACAAAGCCCACTGGGAAAAAACTCAATTATTTCAATTCTTGAAAAAGCGTTTTCCTATAATGTTGAGGACAGAAGAAAAATGATATCCATAAAGGGCCTACATAACCTTTCAAATTTACCATGAATTTTGCAGATTGGAAAAATTCCAGCAAAAAATATTTTTAAAAGCAAAAAAGACCACTGAACAGATGAGAACTAAAATGAACAGATAAGAAAACTGAAAATCAAAACAAAACCACTCTTACACAAAACTTCATGATATAACTCACCAAATATAAGTGATAATATTTTGTTGAGCAATAAAAAATAATGCATTATTCTTTAAAAGACAACATCTACATGACATTTGATTCAAGAATAGAATCTCTCTCCTACAACTTAGGAAACCGGCTACTTTGCAAAATCAAATCTACAAATACAGTAGGGGCAATGGTAAACAAGTATATTTGAGAGGATTCACGAAACTAGGGTAGTATTTATCATTTTTGTCCTGTTTTATGCCAAATACTATCTCTAACTCTCCTTTGAGTATTCCCTGAATAACTCATATTAACATTAAATGCTAATATATTCAGATAGGCATGATTACTTGCAGAATATTCAAAAATGCCTATTTATAGTGTTAATAATTTCTCTTACCAGAAGAACTTGAAAATCAGCCTGCTGGTACACATGGAAGAGTTATAGATGGAAAATATTAAAATGTTATAAAAAGGGGTATATTTTCTAAAGTGTGAAGGAGAAAAACATTGCTGTTTACTGGTAGAGTACTTTAGAAATATGAAATAAAGACTGCTGGCCTAGAGAAAGAACCTATGACCATTAAAATCTAGACTTACTAGTGAAATATTTATGGACTTTTGTAACTTGGCCCTAAACTTAACATTTCAATTTCATTTTTCATCCCATTCCCTACAATTTTGGGGTATGTCATTCTCTCAACCTAGAATGTCCTTCTCCTTACATCTCTACCTCTAAGATTCTCTCTCATCTTTCAAGGCTTAGTTTAAATACCACCTCCTCCTTGAAGTCTTTCCCAATAACCCACCACTCAGGATTATTCTCTCTCTCCTTCATATTCTTACAACAGTTTGTAATTCCAGTTTAGCACTTTTTCAATCTATACTATGTTATATTGCCAATAAGTAGTTATAAATCTGTTTTCTTCACCTCATTTCAAACAACTTCATTGATGGGGATAGGTTTTACTTGTTACCGTCTTGCTCTCTTGTTACTTTCTCCTTTCCTCCTCTGCTCCCATCTCCATGTGCTGTCTGTATCTTATTTGTTACTCTCCCCATCCCCACCTCAATCTCCAGAGTGCTTAGCATAATGTTTTGCACAAAGTAGGCATATAATGAAATGAATTCTTCTTTCTTCTCCTCCCCCCACCCTTTTAGAGAGAGAGAGAGAGTGTGTGTGTGAGTGGGTGGGGGGGGGGAGGAAAGGGAGAGGAAGAGAGAGAATCTTAAGCAGGCTCCACGCCAAGTATGGAGCCCTATGCAGGGCTCAATCTCACAACCCTGAGATCATGACCTGAGCCAAAATCAAGAGCTGGACGCTTAACCAACTGAGCCACTCAGGCGCCCCTGAAGTTAATGAATTTCAAACGCTGACTGAAATTCTTAATACTAGAACTTTAATGAAACTCACACTCTGGCTTAAACAAAAAGCTGTATGATCTGTAGCCAACATTTTTCTCATTTCTTGATTTAATTTCCAAACTGAGATCTATAAAAAGTTTATATTCCAAACTCTTGTGTATAATTAGTTCACTTTTTCCTTTCATTTGGTAAAGTTTATTGGAACCATCTGTGATACACTATTTATTCTTGAGAACTAAAAAAATATTTTAAAAAATATTCCTCTGGGTCAGAACACTTGTTGCATCCCACTAGTTTGTGCCTAAGAGTGGAAATGTCATTCTCTGAGATGAAAGCTTCTTAAAGTTAGAAATACATTGGGATATACAGAGAAATTCTTGATTTTTGTCAGTAGCCTTTAAGGGATCTATAATTCACATATATCATTTCAACCTTACTACCCTCTAGGATATGGGATTCTGATAGTTTATTGCTCCACAAATTTAGCCTATCTTAAGTTTCAAATCCCAATAACATAAATATCCTTACTCTTGGTACAGAATAAATATCTATTCTGTTCCACTTATGAAAAAGGTTCCCAAGGGCAGGGACCAAGATGAATCACTGTGCCTCTACGATGACTAATTTATGTCAGGTTGCTAATAAAGATTAATCCAATACATGTTGTATCATTATTTTATAGAACTGAATTATATCTTCCTTTTTGATTTGTATTTTGGATCATATAGTCTGGCCTCTAACTATGTTAGTATAAAGAAGGCACACTACTATACATGCATGTTTATTCAAATAATCACAGCATATAAGATCCCTTTCAAGTTTAAGAAAAGCTAAAATGTAAGAGCAATTGTCTCCTCTAGTAGTGAACTACAGTAAACATTATACAAAAACTCATCAGAAGATCTCATGAAAGAAGATCTCAAGTTAAGAACACATATAAGGGGGGAAAATGACTTGTGTTGTTGCTGGAAGCAAACAATGTCAGGCAGTAGTTGGAAAAGTTCTGTAAAATGTCACTTAACAAACACTTGGCCTCCTCAATATAGGCAAGAAGTTTTGCTTTTAATCTAGATATATTTGTTTACTTTAAAAATAGGGAGAAAACTCTGTCCACTAAAAAGGCTTAGAAGCAGTAACAATCCAATGAGAAGCCCAAGCATCCAGATTATAGTCTCTAAGAACCATTCCTCACTAAAAAAAAATGAGTCCTTGGTGTAAAGGGCTGATTCCAAGTCTGTGTTAGGAAATATACAAGATGGGCCTGGTATATCTTGTGCCAGAAAGCAAGGAATCTCACTTGCTAATGTGAGTAATATCAAAAGGACATGAAGTAACTTGAAGGATAGACAACTGAGCACCAGCAAGAAAAA